AGTAACTTTATGTGGGATGAACAGAGTTGAATGAGAGTGGGGGAACTCAATGTTGTCATCACGAATTACAAATGGCGGATTCAAACTACAAAATTTTTATTTATTAAATACATATCTTTTTACTTGAAATTTACGAAAATGTGTTTCGTGAACAGTGTTAATTGTTCATAACAGATGTTCTGGAAAGCTACATAAAATATACAGAGTTCTACGTAGTGTTATATGAAATATCCAGGTTAGAATTTTGAAAAATTTTTTTCTCGAAAACTAGGTTCGACCGCACAAAAAACTGCAGATTCGTGTTCAGCACCATCGAAAATAGGGGGGTAGACAAAATTTCGTGAAAATTGGAGGTGGTGCCACTAAAGTAAATAATTACCAAGTTAAATATCCTCTGTTATGTGTTCTGTAACCCTCTTTGGTAAAAAACACTTGAAATTTAAATTACACTTTTCGTCAAACAATATAGCTAAAATGGACTTTCCAAAACGTGTATTGACAAAAGATAGTTTTTTTATCGGATATTGTGTATCAATTTCCAACGAGGAAACTGACCTTCGCATAATATCATTGAATTCACCGTTAATATTACTATTTATTTTATTTAATTCATCAATTGATAATGCCATTTTTATATTATAATTCCCTGTAATATCTAGTCAGCAATAAATACAATAATTGTTCTCCCTTCAAAAATTTTTGACACAAAATTTACATTATTGTAGACGCTTACTGCAGGATTGGCACACAACGAAATGTAATTCTTCACTTTGATCTCCTCTCATATATAGAAAATACACTGCACCACGTCACAATGTATACACAACATTAAAACAACTATTTAATTTCAAGGTTAAATGCACTGTTTAAACGTAAATCAAACGAATGGCGTCACATAATGAACTTATGAACTAGCTCAAGGTCACCACACCCTCATAAGATACTTATCGACACCGATAGACATATTTCAAATTTAATTTCAAGGTTAATTGCAATGTTTAAAACGTAAGAAAAATGAAGGTCATAAACAATCTTCCTTATTCACACCACACTACACAAATTTAATTTCAAGGTTAATGGGAATGCCAAAGTCAAATGAAGGTCATCTTCTCATGTAAAACTCCTCCTCTCTCACACACCATACAAATCTAATTTCAAGGTTAACTGCAATGCAAAGGTCGAATGAAAGTCACCAACCTACGTCACCTTCTGCTTTCAGCGTCAAGGTCGTCCATACACCATCGTCATCGGTCTGCGGCCTCAAGGTCATCCCAAGCCAGAAAGTGGAGGGGGGAGATTCAGAGACAGCAAAAATACCCTACTAGGGTACTAATATAATATGATGAAAACTTTGTTTAAGTTTTTAAAGGTTTATTTTTATGTTTATGTATAAGGCGTTAAGTTTTTGAGAGTTTATTTTATAGATACGACATATTTTAATATATTACTTACATTTTGCATGTAATGCAAATGGCATAGTGACATATTTTAAATTTTAGAAAGCTTATTTTACAGATTTATAGATATTTTCATATTTCGTCACTTTAATTTTAATTTCTTGTAAATCTAATTTTTTAAAAGTTTGAATTAATGTGTACTCTCGTGTGTACTCATTGTCGACTGACATTCGACAGTAAAGGATTCACTTTGCGATTTTTGTTTCATAGACTTTATTTTATGTTTCATTTAATAACAATTTATAAATACTTTTATAATGGTTTATGTATGTATACACAGAGCTCGTAAAGTTTGGAATAAATTCGAAAAATCGTTATTGAAGGGTTTTGACATGAAATCCTCGGACACGTCAACTTTAGTTTATAAAATGTCACTTTTTTCAGCCATCGACTTTTATTTTGTTTCGTTTGTTTTTGATGTATGACGTCATCGGCAATTTTTTTAAATGGCAGCCCATATTTTTTTCCACGGATTTCGATAGAGCACATTTTTCTGAGTACGAATATGTCAAAAACGCATGACCTTCAAGATGGAAGTTTTCGAGATATTCGGTTCCAAAGTTTCAAGAATGCATTATACAAGCGATGACAAAATACTAATCATTTATCAAGGAAGCGCTGGAAAAATTACAGTTTTGATAGTTGAAGTTTGTTCTCGCAAGTTTGTGTTTTAAACTGTCTATTATCTCGAAAACTTCCATCTTGAAGGTCGTACGTTTTTGACATAATATTCATGCTCCGTAACTGATCATAAAAATTTCGATTCTTTCCCTTTCACTCAAACGACGGACCATTTTCAAATAAAATGAATTCTGATAGAATAATGATTAATCAACTTAAAATAAAACACAAACTTGCGAGGACAAACTTCAACTATCAAAACTGTAATTTTTCCAGCGCTTCCTTGATAAATGATTAGTATTTTGTCATCGCTTGTATAATGCATTCTTGAAACTTTGGAACCGAATATCTCGAAAACTTCCATCTTGAAGGTCATGCGTTTTTGACATATTCGTACTCAGAAAAATGTGCTCTATCGAAATCCGTGGAAAAAAATATGGGCTGCCATTTAAAAAAATTGCCGATGACGTCATACATCAAAAACAAACGAAACAAAATAAAAGTCGATGGCTGAAAAAAGTGACATTTTATAAACTAAAGTTGACGTGTCCGAGGATTTCCTGTCAAAACCCTTCAATAACGATTTTTCGAATTTATTCCAAACTTTACGAGCTCTG